GTTACAACTCAATTGTTTGACTACAAATTCATATACCCAACTTCAGTCTGCACTTTTCTGGTGCAAAATTTAATGACATTTAATATAATAATGACCAAACCAAAGTAGGTTGTATTGGGTTTGAACATACAATGTACTTATTAACTGGATAAAACACTCGTACTTTAATACATTTTTTCCTTTCTTTCCATTGATGCTATACACAAACTAGTGTTTAAGAAATATAAACCCATCTTAGTATAAATACACATAATAGTGTACTGTCAAGTTGACTTCAGTAATTTTGAAATTGGCCTATAAAACTAACTACTATCGCTTCCTGAAAATTGGTTACTCTTCAATGACTAACTATGTTCCCGTTCAGTTCTACTCTGAATCAATCTATTCATAGAAAATCAGTGACAATTTATCTTCACTGTAGTGGTAATCGATGCAGATTTGACTTGTGTTTGCCATTTGTGTACGTATGTCCCATTTTACAAGCCCTCTCATTTCCTATCCTCACTCTCCAACTTGTAATTTATGTATATCTCTTTCACCTTAGAGTTCTTAACATTACCCTAAACATTTACCTTACATTGTTATTGATTTGCCTTATGATTTGGTTGCTTTCTGCTCTTCACAAATGACATAGAAGCTATTAAATTTAGCCTTTTGCGTTCTGACTGTATCCATAGAGTTCTTGTTCTTTAGCTGCTTATTTCGCCCCTTTTTGTTTGCTTTGACCATTCATTAGCCATTATTTCAACCTCTGAATAACCTTCGATCACTAAGGTTCAACAAATTTCCCTAGTAAAAGGCGCTATCAGTGAAAGCTTTTAATTTATCATCCTAGTTCTACTTGTTTCTATAGAACAATACTTGATATTTTGGAAACGCTGGTAGTATTGAGGTATTCTTATCTGGATTCATTTGGTGAATAAATATCGAGTTTGTTAGAAGTGTTGTATTCTCTGAGTTGGATTGTTATGATATGTGGCTTTCTTTGTCTCTCTGGACGACGTCATTAGGACATACTTAGAAGAGAAACTCCTTTTAATGTACACGGATATTTGTAGTTTAACTGACTAAGAATGGCCAGTGATTAGCTTTTTTGATTGATTAACCAATAACTAAATATATGGTTAAACTCCACTGGTCATGGCTTTTCACTAGAACTTCAAGAACTACCTCTCGAACCTAGTCAATTTGCTAAGTAAAGTTTACTGGCTCTTTGTCTTTTGTAATTAAGTGTCTTATTTTTTCAGTCATTGAAAAAGTTTTCAAACGTTAAACTAACAAAACACATTACTACTCAAATGCGAGTAGTATGAGATAATATGTTAAATGGATTTGCAATTTTCAGTTTATACATTAAAAAACCCAATATTTTATACCAAATCTATGGATGCTACGATTATTTCATTTTGTCTTTAAATTGTGACATGTTTTTATTGTTGCCTTCAAGAAGAGGATCGGTTATCTTTGTAAACACACGAACTCCATGTCTGAAGAATACTATGGTATTTTTGTGGATTTTAACTGAACCAACATTACAACTTTATAACCGATTTTATCACTCAATTTTAAAGATTACACATTATTATTAAGTGGTTTCAGCGCAATAACCATTATGTGATATTGCATTGAATAGGGTTATATTTGACAAGTTGAGAATCTTCTTAATAACAGTGACTTAGTGGCTGTTTTTCGAGTTTCAGGCCTAGGTCCGAACCCCGCCCCACCTACTTCAAGTTAGACTCTCACATTTAAAATGTGGCTCACATCCAATTATATAGAGAATGAGTTAATTTATTATCATTAGTTTTGAGAAAACTATTAATAAGTAAACCTTTGTTAAGTTCATTTTCGTTGTTCCCTATTAAGTGGAAATGGTTTCACCGTACCAATGTAACCACATATACAGATCTATATACTTAATACTAGTATTACCAGGGTATAAATATATTATGTACTGCGCTAAACTGAAATTACGGATGTCATAGTATCTTTTACGCAAATTGTGTGATCATGTGAATTCTTCGTTATAAATGACAAAAGCAGAAATTTGAAGAGATGTCTCATCAATTAACCATTTAGTCGGAATGTAATTGTTTGCATTTCCAACTTCAATTTGATATGACGGGAAGAAAAGTCGTATCACAATCATTTCACAATATAGCATGACCGTCATTAAACATCACCGATAAGTGGTGTCTCACTCTCGACACAGCTGAACTTCACTGATTACTATTTGTCATTTAAACCTCGGTTGTCTTTTTCTAAATTAGTCACCAGTAAAAACTCAAGTATTACTTAGCTGAATGGATTGTAGAGAATAGTTGAAGTTAGGAATATTTTTCATTGCTGATTGATCTGAAGTTTGTCCGTGGTGAAATCACTTATCACGTTAAACTAATCCGATGGTAACAGTATACTACACTAATGAACTGATCACATGATGACCTCTGGATTTTTAAGCGAGACTCAAAACTCAATGACAGGTCCTCTGTATCTCATTGGCAGCTAAATAAGAATTAAGTAGGAATTATCAATATTTATCTACTAAAGTGTTTAAAGTTAATAGGCATAGTAAAATTAAAGAATAGAGATAAACTTTAACAACTCTTGAGATGAAGCTTAGATGGTTATCAGTTTGTCATGAAAAATATATATATATATATAACACTTAAAATCAAAGAATCATCTCCACAGCCTTTGGTCATCGGAAGACTACAAAACATTCTCTTATTTTTCACGACAATGCTTAAACTTATCTAGGTTTTTATATAATAACTCATTTGTTTATAACACTTTAATCTCAATTGCCCTTACCTTACCAAGATCATTTCAGAAATCGCTGAAGGTTATTACTGTAAAACAGAATGTGCCATCTTTCGACAATTTTGTTTTTTTCGATACATTATACATACTACACTATGTAGTATTTCATTAACGAAAAAAACATTAATTAATCTCTATCGTATTAATGAGTTCATTTGAGATATGCGAAAGGCATGCATTGTTGTTTACACAAAATCATGTGTTCTTTTCTTAAAAAGTTTATTCTTCATCAACTTGTAAATAATAATCTACGTAATATGAAACGAATGGTTAGATTTAACATTTTTAATTTATATTAGAAAATAGTCAAATAAATCTTTGGCATTGAGCCAAAAATGTCATATATATATATATATATATATATATATATATATATATATATATATATATATATGCAGTCTTTTCTCTCTTTACACTAAATACATACACGCCAACATATGTCAACTTATCTGTTTCATGACCTGATGCTTCAGTTGAACAATATTCTGTCTTTGTGTTTTGCGTTTAATTGTACACATATTTCAATGGTAGTAAATGAATAGCATGTTAGTTTGGCTCTCTCCACATATGTATACCAAGTTTTTATTGGTCAGTAAAAAGTGTATGCGATGTGAGGAATTTTAAAAAAATAGAAACCAATTAATTTTAAATGACAGTGTTTATAAATAGTGAACAATTAATTATAAGAAATCTAATCCAAATAGATAATGAAATCTATAATGTTGAAAAAGATTAAATAATCAATATATTCGTACCATTATCACATATTTTGATTCTTATTACTTAACGTCTGTAACCATGAGTTTCAACTGTTTCATTGATACTAACCAAACATTTTTCACTTACCGATACCCTTCAGTCCAACTCAGTAATTTAATGAATGGATATCACGTCTCTGTCTGGACGTTCCTAACATTTTTTCAACCCATCCCTACCCCGACCCGTATTGAACACAAAGGTAGGTGTTAGCTGAACATCCATATTTCATCTTAGTTCGGAAATTCACATAGCCTCACCAATCTATTGGCCGTTTGCAACTGAAACCTCAAGCCTAACTTCACCAATACTCGATGGTTTAACTTTACTACAGCACCTACTTTAATGATTTGTGATTGGATACTGGTAATATATTTTTACCTATCATTTGTTTACAGTCGTTACATAATACAAAGAAAGATTTCGAAGTATACTTATCCGTTAATTGAAAAACATAAATTTCTTCTGCCCGACAGATAACGTGTAGTGGTTAAAACAAGTCTTGGTTATTGTATCAGTTTCAAAATTACATCAACTATTAAGGCATGGGGCCCAATGAAACTCCAAACATAAATGCTGTAGTCAACCTGTTTAACTCACTCAATTTCTGTGATTAGATTATTCACTTATAAAGAGTTTGTTTTTGTTTTTTAGAAAAAAAATATTTTAATTGTATCTTATTATACAAACTGAATAAGTTGGCAAATGAATTTCTTATTCCTATAAAATAGACTAAATTATAGTCGTATAAAATACCAAACACCTTTTCTTTTAACCTTGAATGTGATTATTTATTTTCAGTACTCATGTGATAGCCTTATTTCATAACTACATATTTCTCAAGTATGTACACATGCACATATATATATAAATAAATACATATATGTTTGACTTTTACGTAAATGTGCTGGAACTTACATTCAAATATAATTATAATTACATTGTATGCTTTTTTTGAAGTTATCAGCTAATAAAATTATAATCTAACCATTATTATTAAAACCGTTAGTATTTTAGAACTTGTTCTGTTTCTTATCATGTGATAAAAACTATGCTGGTATATATATATAAAGGTAAATAATAATGACGTGAAATATTATAACTGAATTCTCTCTCACCTTTATTATTTGAAATTATGCCAATATTTCTAAATTTATTCTGGATATTTTGTTAAATTGTATTTCAGTCTATTTAATATTGTATAATTTTGCGTATGGTGAATTCCAATTCAAACGTTATCATTTAAAATATACATTGGATTCAAGTTTAAATAATTGGAAAATCTAAACTTTTTTTTCCATCTAAAATTTGTTCAAATTGGTTAAATGAAAAAGTCTTGGAATTAATTTTTATTACAAGATGGTGAAAATTATTTTGTCAACTTAAACTTTCTTTAATAAAAATTTAACTGAATATTTACTATGACAAGTAGTGAATGTAAAAATAGAATTAACAGTACAGTTGAATGTCCTGTAACATTTGGGAATAATAATCAAAAACAAATAAGTATTGGTCGTCCACCAAGTTCAATAAGTCTAATTACTGATCAATTAAAATTATCCAGTTTAAATGAACGTGATCCATGTATGACAATGCGAATGATGAAAATGACAGTTGGAGTAATGCCAACAATAACAACAACAAGTAAATCAATGAATACAGGACAACATAATATCAATTGTGAATATTATGGTTTGAAGACAATAAATGAAACAAAGAATGCTTGTTCAATGCCTATACACTCTGTTATTGGTTTACAATTGAAACGTAATATCACTAGTAATGATAATGATAGTACAATTATTAACAATACAGATTGGAGAAGTGGATCAAAAGATTATCATCATTCACGTACTGTACACTTTCATGATGTATTTACGCCAAGTTCTAGTGTTTGTTCTTCTCTCAAGTCTACTATATCAGAATTTGAAGATGGAAGTGAAATAATTGTAAGTGTATTTCTTTTTCCATGAAGTTTAATAGTTGTTTGACATAACAGTTTAATATAATCATATTTTGTCGTAGAAATATCGTTCTAAAGTTATATATATATGACGCGAGAGGGAAGTCTAGTGATAACTATATGGCACAGAAGATAGTTTTCAATCCGTAACCCAATTAAGTAGTATTAATTTACCTATTGGCCAAAGTTAGTAATGTAAATTATTGCATGTTAACTCAATAGTCTGAGCTCTTTCGGCTTAGCTCTTGCCACATGCCCTGAAGAACTTGCGTTCTATTCCAAGTGAATTCATGGATGCTCATCACTGACAACTTCCATAGTGGAACGAAACGTCTACCCAATGCTCTCTGGTTTTCATTCGTTTTTTAAAGTGAGTATCGAAAACAGTGGTCAGGGGTTTTGGGCCACATTGTTTTAAATCGTTCGCGATGGTGCAACTTCATTCACTCTTCACTCTCTCTAGGATCCTAAGTATCTAAATTACCTTGTAGATATTTTTTAGTTTACCAAATTATATTTTGTAGAACCGTATCTTCTATGACTAATCTTCTTTATTACCACGAATACTGTAATTACATCTACTGTTCTGGGATTTGACCTGACAATTTCATCTTACTGTACTAATGGAGTGTGACAACTGGAACTGATGTACGTATGAGCCAGGTTCTACGTTTCATATGACTAACTGACTGGAAGTGATCGAAGGCTACAACAGCCTCGTACAATATGTGGTAGTTATCTGCGCTTGGTGGGGCAATTAGGTTATAAAGTGTCTTTCCGAGAATCGACGTTCACTGGGCATGTAATGTAACGTCAGTTGCTTTAAATTTACTCAGTTTAGATTGCTTCGGTCAGCTACAGCTAGCTGACGTCCCGCTAATTACCATATGCAATCTGGAAGACAACCCCCTGAACCGGAAGCATATACAACGAAGTTAATTACACAGTTATTAATCATCTTCCAGCTTGTTTTGGATTGGTGCTCTTCTATGGAAACAACCGTTCGGTTGAAGCCACGGGCTAAAACTGTTTTCCGCCTGAATAGACCAGTGCCATATATGGCATTATCAAAAGCTAATGAAGAACTCGATCGTCTACAACTACAAGAGGTTATCACACCTGTTTCTGATTCTTCTTGGACAGCACCAACTGTGGCTATCAAGAAGATAAATGGCACAACACGTATCTGCGCCGATTTCTCTACAGGCCATAACGCAGTACTTGAACAACATCATTACCCGCTGCCAACTCCCTCAGATTTACTCATTATGCTAAACGGTGAGAAGTTCTTCGTAAAGTTGGACCTCAATTATGCTTATTAACAAATGGAAGTGGATGAAGAATCGCGAGAACTACTGACCACTAATACCCATCGTGGTTTGTTCCAGTATAAACTTCTACCATTTAGTTAAGACCACCCCATCTAGATACTCATGGGACGAAGGCTGAGGACGATCCGGAACCTGATGCTACCGAGAACCACACCACTACCATCACAAACTATGTCTCAGGAGTTACCAAAGTACGAGGTTGGATGTTCGGTGTTCTCTCGGGACTACAGACCAAACATGATCCCTGGACTGAAGTATATGTGGTCGAGAGGTTAGATCAAGTCATGCAGGAAGTAGAGGTGAGAAGAGACAGATGGAGATGACACCGGAACCAGCTACGGAAACAGTGAGCCCCAGATCGCCCATCAAGAAACAGATATATCTCACTCGAAGTTCGGTTAGATAGCTTCAACTTACCCTCAGTCCTGACGGAAAAAGTGCAGAAGGTGACTACTTCGACAACGGTGGCAAACAGTCAATAATCAGGTGAAACCCAACAACAAACGCTGTTAAAAAATAGAGGTATTGAGGATGCCAGATCCCCAGAAATCACTTGGTAAACGTCTCATTTTTGTAATTTTATTATTGGTATCCGAATTTCTCATTTTCGTACCAAAAGTGGCCATTTCACCTTCAGTTTGTATATCCCACTTGGAAAGACCTCAAATGTCATTGATTCGTTTTCCCTTTTAATATTCTATTTGTGATGTTTTCCGAGGACATTTTTTGTTTTGTATATATACGCATGAGTTTTGTTCTTGTTCGTTCGTGCTTCTGGGCTGCTTGTGGAAGATGCATTTTTCTGGCTGAATCTGGTCTTCTCCCTTTAGTTAGCAGGGATGGGTTGCAGTGGAATAGCTGAGAGTATCCTGTTGTTGTTTTGCTGACTTTCGTTCCGTTCACCGGTTCTAGGTGATATCGTTAGCTCTTCAAGCGTAGCAATTTCTTGTCGTACAATACGAATAAGCATAATTATGTGGATTGGATCAATCCCAAAATCACCTCTGAACAAGGCATAAGATCAATAAATCAAGTTATTGACTGGTTTAAATGATCCATGGTAAACAGAAATTAAATTATTGGCTTATGATCTGTAAGACAATCATAATTAATGGCTGAAGACTCAAAGTAACATATTTACAAATTTATCGCAGCTTTTTGATTACATTCTCGATTTTCTTCCATCTTTTTTCCTTATTTTACGTACTTTTCATTCCCTTTAACCTCATTTGCTCATTTGTTTTGAAAATATCTTTTACTTGTACACTTTTTCACTATCACTGATCAACACTATTTGTTTCTATTAGTTTGGTGTCATAATCTTGTTAGTTTTCTTCTAATTGTACTGCTGTAAAATTTGATATTTGCTATATTCTTGTGCTAATTTGTGATTGATTAACTGTAGTTTTGTGAAATACGTATACAACTACAAACAATCTACAAGTACTGGGAACAATCGAATTAAAAATAAAAAATAAACATATTTTATTTACCATTGTTTAATCAAGAACTTCTCTTAGACCTCTATTGGAAGCCTGAAGGTATTGAACATGTTTCGTTTTAGTATAAGACCATTTAGCAATGCTTATTCATTTTTCTGCATCCGGAAGTCGAACCCAGAACCTTCGGTCTCACGCGCAAACGTGCAAATGTCAAGCCAATGTTTTCAGGTTTTCATTACTGGTTTAACTATGGTCAGCTCTTGACTTAAACACTAAAAATTCCACTATCGCTATAAATCCTTCTGAAATAACGTTTCACTTAGTCGATAGAATAGTAATGAAATCTTCAAAAAATGTGACATACCAGCACAAATTTAAAACCTAGTCTAGCAACCTCTAATTGAACGTTATCAATATTAAATTTTTAATTCTAAAATTTATTGTAAATTTCGATCGTTTTCAGACGATGAGAAGCTTTGATTTGTAGTGTGACTTCATTTGTGTTTTTGCAAGTCTTTATTGCCCTTTATTTATAATTCACTATTGTTTGCAAATCTTTACCAGCCTGTTGTTTAAGCTTGAAACATTCTTCAATTTCGATGCGGAACAAGAACAATAAATTCTGATTCATTTCTATTGGTTGTTTGAATCTTCCCATTGATGCTTAGGATTGCGATTGAACAGTCTTATGGACATATGAACTCTCCAGTTAAATGTACCTGCATTCTGGTGTTAATGCTCATACCAGAACTCGAACCTAGTACATTCCCATTAGAAAAAACCGGTGCGTTATCTACATGGATACTGAGTCCAGTGAGCCGCTGGCTCGTGAAACTGATTGAATTTCAATTTATTTTGAATCTAATTCGTCTCTTTGACGTTATAGACTGTTCTGGGTGTTTGAAGTGAAATGTGCTGTGTTCGAGTTCAGATGTTAACATCAACACTGGGTTGTAGAAACATCCGACTGACGAGTCCCAGATAAGACGAAACGCACGTCTTACATTCCATCACTAGCCACTATCGAAATAAGTTTCAATGCTGTTAGCTTACAGCAAGCGATGAAACTTCATTGTAGTGGTATATATAAATGGACTATTTCAGAGGAAATAACCATCCATAACTTCATAGTCAACATCCCGTCATTTTATAATTGTATTCAATATTCAATAGACACTATTTTCGGACATGCAATCATACCATCCCCATTTCATGTTCCCCTTGTTTATCTACTTAAAACTTAAATTCTTAATCTAAACAAATAATATTTATAGATGAAAATAGATCCTAACAATTATCTTATTTTATAATTATCCTATTATTGATATATGATGTATACGCCCCTTCTTGTTCCGAATGATATACACAACTGTAATACATTGTTAATTAAATAGTGTAATTAAAAAATTTCTTTCTTTTTTAAAGAAAAAAGGAATATTTTACAGAAGAAGTAAAAAGTTTCTTTTTTCTTTCAGAATAAAAAACAAACAAACAGAGAATTGAGTAACGTTTTCAGATTAGCTGATATTGTTTTCAAGCAGTTTTAAGTTGAATAAGAAGTAATTTCATTCCATTCATAAAACATAAACACACACACAAAATGGGTAGTATGAATAGTATCGAGATTATTTTATTTATCAGTGGTTGTAATACACAATACACTTATAATGGATTAATAAAGCTAGCAGCCGATTTTGAATCATGTACTCTTTACTGTATACATGTATATGTGTGTTGATTATGTTTTTAAAAAAATAATTCTATTTGATAATATTTCTATGGTTATAAGTAATATTTTTTAGAATCCCTTTGATTTACAAATTATAGATTCATGTACTCTTATTCAAAACATACTGTTTAATGACTAATTATACTTACTACCTGGTTATCGAAGTGAACTTGTAAGTTTTTATAACTGGAAAATGACTCGGTCAACACTGTTTGAACTGTGTGGTCGACTGAGTTATATTCGTGTTGCCACTGTTGTATCCAGATAGTCAATTTTTATATCTTATGGGTCGTTGCTGTTATGACGTTTCGGCTCTGTTGAACCCTACAGTCTTACTTCTTTTCACTTAACCCATTGGGAACCAATGTAATTCCTCTATTCTAGTGCTTTTAACAAGAGAAGGAAACCTCTACAATTCACACGATGCGAAGTAAGAACATGAAAGAATGGTGCAACGAAGTTTTATTTACAACCCAAAAACACGTTTCCAAACAAATCCTGAAATCAGATCGTCGTTGATCAAAATACAATCATTTGTATTCTAATTTTTACATATAAAAATCATCACATAGGGAAAGGGAATACATAAAGTTACTATTGAAACGCACACTCTAAATAGTTTACCGGAATTGATATAGGAAATATAATTGCAATGAAATAATTTCACTCGTTACATAATCTTTTTCTCCAGACAAAATAATTTATATTTATAATGATATAATGAATAGCTTATAGAAATGGTTCCCTTCATTAACTTAAAGGGACTAAGAATAAACATTTTATCAGGTTAATATGAATTCATTTTATTTCGTTAAACTTATCAGTTATACCTACAAGTTACAATATATTAAAATTAAACTTATGCGCATAAGTTAACTTAAATATTCAACTGAAACTGATTCGAAATAAACGTATATATATCATCATGGTAAAGCAATGTTTTTGACTAAAGTTAATAAAATAGCCCCGCGTGGTGCGGGATCGTGGATGCGCACTGCTGAGGAGTCCCACACTAGGATGAAACGGTCGTCCAGTGCTTCCAGGTTTTCAATGATGGTCTAGCTTCAACTGACTCATGATTTCAATCTGTGAAATATTTCATTTGTTCGTCTGATTACCATGATCAATTAACTAATACATTGAATGAGACCAATGATTGGCTTGTGTAAATGACTCAGATTTATTCAACATTGAAATTGATTGGATTATACTACTTAATAAATTAGTCATCATTGGGATGAAAATTATAAAATCTTAATATCTCACTCTAGTTAATCACAATAGAGATTCAGTGCACTTCACATCAGTGTTTCTGTTAGCTAGTAATAGGTTTGACTCTGAACAAGGTGTCAATAAATTGCACAGTTAGTTGGCTGATGAGAAATTACTTATGCGACTTTTATTAATTCCGACATTTTAAGCACCTACATTTATTTAAATTAGTATTATGAATGATGTTTATGCTCATCCGAAACTCTATTAAATCATATATTCGTATGTATTTATTACATAATCTACTATGCTTTTACTGACAGACTTTATTATTCGTTTTTTATCTATTAATAGAATCTTGAGCCGAATTCGTCTTCTCTTCATGTTTGTAAGTTGAATTTCCCTTTTTCTCTCTGTTTTAAAATTGATTTATGTATGGATTAGTGGTGAAAATTATTTTCTTATGCACTGTTAATTATCACGTGATAAGATAGCCAATAAGAATACCGACTTGTATGACCTTGGCACCGTGCCAAACCAGTGATGCGTTAGCCAGTACAAGCAACCTAGAATCAATTTGAAGTCCTTATTGGTTCTTCTCGCCTAGCTCTGTTCGTTTGTATCCAGAACACAACCTCAACTTCCACTATATGAATCATATATTTCAGATATACTTGACTTATATACAAGCAAACCAGATCACATCATACTATAAAGTAGGAAATAACAATTTTACAAGATCACGCCAAAAAGTGGTTGTGAGTATGAGAGACTGTAACTAATAGATTGTGAATAACCTAATAATAGTAAATCGTATAATAGTGGTCAATAGGTCAAATGAAAGCTTCTAATAAAAGGAATATAAATATACATATAATATAGTTACTTAGTAGTTATCCAATGTAATAACAGTTCGTAAATAATTCCCAGCAGTTACCATTCATTTATTCTTCGTTAGGATGTAACAACAATGATTATGGTAATCAATATTTTCACATGATATGCAAACTGCCAATCTATCTGTGGTTAATTCTTGGTGTAAACAAACCTCTTACGCTGGAAATGATCATGTGCTCACTAATATTTAATTTCGAGAGGTGATACCCGAGATTATAATGATATGTGACCAGTGGAGTGCGACCATGACTGGTCTAAGGAAGCTATCCACCAGTTGCATTAAAAGATGTTTTCATAATATCGCGAACCAATCAAAATTATATACATGAACCATTTTAATGCCAGCTCAGTGATATGAACGTTAAGCGTTCATATAATGACCTAAAGGCCCTAGATTCAGTTCACAATAGGGTCTTGAATGCTCATTGTTGAGGATTCTCATACTAGGTGTAAACAATTGTTCAGTGTTTCCTGGTTCTCAGTGGTTATCTTACTTACGTCATTTTGTAATATAAACTGTGAAACCCAACAATTTCCAAAAACCATTGACAGTATAACAACTTATTGATGAATTTCGTATTTCACACTCCTTGAAATAATAAAATAAAATGTATTTAGGCCCTAATTCTACGTATGATTAAAATGGTAAATTTTCCGCAGTATTCTAAATTGGCTGTCAATAGAAAACTACCGCTACTTACGCATATTTTACGATTGATTCTAAGAACATAATAGAAAACTTTTAATCAGAGATGGCAATATCGAGGCAATTCTCACAGGATGCACATGCGCCAATATGAGACTGATAATTTGCAATCACTCATCATGAAGTTTAGTTGGCTCATTCACTTTTTCCTCATCATGTCCATTCGTTTCGTTCCGCTTTGTTTCCTTTATTCCTTCTCTCTGATTGTCTGTTCAAACCAACGATTGTATGAAATGCACATATTCAAACTTCATTTTCGTATTTAACTGATTTAATTTACACGTTAAATAAGGATGACAACATTCTCTATTATGCAACTGAAATCATTACTTTTAACCATTCATTTTTGTTAACTTATGTAATTGAATAAAAAATAATAGTAAAATATTCTTTCATCAAGAGAAATAACAAACAATATTTATACGTGTTATATTATAGGCATTAAAACTCTGAAATAACACCAATCAATCATCAGTTATGATTGTTATTTGTAACAATAATGAATAATGTTAACCACCATTAAAAAAAATAACTAATTATTAGAAAGAAGAAAAAAAAGTATGTTTAAAATTCCACACTAACTACATTCAATTGTAACATTGTTTTAATCAACATTGGATTATCTTATCTCTAATCTTTCAACTTTCTACTACCCTATCTGTTAATGTTTCACAATGTTGAACACACCATTTATGTTATGCAATGATGATGGTGATTTTTTGTTTGGAGATTGTTGAATACTTCAAATGTGATTTTTCCTTATGGGATAGCATCATTCAAAATCGTGAAATATTATTCATTTGCTTCATCCTCGTTTAGGATTTCTCAGAATTGAGCCACACATCTACGCAATCTTAGTAAGTATCCAATCAAAGAGTTGTAGCTCTTGTGACGACCGCAATCTCTTTGGACTGCTAAAAACAGGGATTCAGTGATCATCAATTTGATATAAAGACTGCTGCACTCGTTCAATATCATCAATCAATTTTTACTCTCTGATATTCCTGCCTAGTACCTGTATGCTAATCTCTAACTCCTAAACGCTTACTATTTCCCAAGAGATTTCGTACACTTGAATCCTAAACACAAGACAAAGAACGAAAATTATGAACAGAGAGTTCTAAGCTTTTTCTGTGTATAAAAATAACCCTATTTCTAAGTTTGTTTGTTACCATGATATTCTAGAAGCTTACAAAAACCCACTAAAATTATTAGTTACCCAGTTAAAGTATGATACATTAATTATCGTATTTATAAGGTCAACCTAATGACTTATGATCGCATTTTATCCCCTTAATGGGAATGAGTCATGGATAGTTCATATAAGCCATTAAAACTCATATATTTGTGTTGGTAACAGAAATCTATTGATTGTTTGTTTGAATAGTTTGACACAATTTTAATCAGAATTATGGATTTATCATGGTAGTGATAAACTGACAATGTTGCCGAGACTATAATTTACGGACTAACCAATCAGATTTATGATAACAGGTCTTGGATTTTGGAACGAAATTCATTCATTCATTTGGTTAAATAGAGTTTTGGCTGGTTTTAAGGTAAATACAACGGGTTTAAAATGTCATGAGATATAGGTCAGAAAATATGGTGTAAAGTGTACCAGTGAAATGAACGAAATCTTCCTGCGATTTTTTTTTAATGCCAACTTTTTATATTTTATATTTCTTATTTTCAACATTACTATTTGAATTCTCTACCTGATTCGTTTTTCTTTTTACGTTATACCTTCATAATATTCTCATTTTCTTTTTCATAATGTATCTTCCAGTGCCTTTCCTTAGGACTAGATATACTATTCAGTTGTTATACATTAGTAAATTGTTGGTTGAATTTCGCTATTCTATTTGACTTTAGGCAGGTTAGACAAACGGGTAATATTAGTTTATATTTAATTGTTAAGTTACATTATGTTTACTATTTTATCAAATTTATATTTATGAAAGTATATTTATCCTTTCTACTTTCGTTATTTTTGTTTAGTATCTGCAAGTGCTCCAGCTACAAATTATTCATTAAATTCTATGTCAAATGTATCAAAATTCAACGAAATACAATCTTGTCATCAACATCATCACCATATAGATCATCCCTATCATCCTCATCTCCATCATCATCATCGTCATCACCACCATCATCATCAAATTATTAATAGTAATAACAATACTGCTACACCTTCAACATGTACATTCAACTTTTCATCAGCTTCATTTCCTTGTTCTGTAGATGATAAAGTTGACCATATGAATGTACTAATTAATCAATTTAATGTACCATGTAAAACAGTATGTTCGTCTCCGTTTTCTTCCTCTTCTTCATCAACATCATGTTACTTTTGTTCAGTTTGTTGTTCTTGTTGTCTATATGAAGCAAATAATACTTCATATTCACATATTCAACACTTACATGACCGTTTACCACCGGCAAAACGTGTTTGTCGTTCAACAAGTTCAAGTTCTGATATACATTCACAGACATCTTCATCATATGGTTATTCTTGTCGTCCTTTTCCATTTATAATATCATCTTGTTTATGTTCTTCATCTTCTCACATACCACCACCGCCGTCATCAGTATCGTCTTATCGTCATTGTCATAAATGTAATAATAACAATAATGACAATAACAATCAACATAGTTCTTCAGCCATGTTGAAAACAATGCAGTCATATATGAGGACTCTCCCACGACCAATTGCAGTACGATTAGATTCAAAAATGGCATATAATGAAAAGTCAAAAAGTTGCACTAATATGGATAACGTCAAATTATTAAATTCTAATGACAATAATGCTAATAATGGTGGTGGTACCTTACGAAATAATAATAATACTCCTAATAATCATGGTGTTATTCTACGTCCAAAACCATCGGATTTAATCTCTTCTAATAAAATGAATAATGGATCACGTATTAGTTGGCATCATCCATTGTTTAACTTTGGTTCTGGAGCTGCTCAAACTAAGTGTAACAATAATAATGGTAATAATTTATCTTCACAAGCTGAAGTTAATGAAGTCACTATGCAACATAATAACTCTCCTACAGACTTTCCACAAACACATTCAGATAATTTACAAAAATCTGTTCGTCTACGTAATCGGACTGCACATAGTAATAGCAGCGGTGGCAGCAGTATTAATAATAATAGTAATAGTAATAATAAAAGTCAGTTCGATCGTGTTCATCATCGTCCAAGTCATATAGAAATTAAAGATTCACACGACTCTTCATTGTCAATTCATGCATTGCCTAGGTATGTCATTACATAACTGATTTGATTCCTCTCTTAAATTTTAATTTGTTTTCTGTCTAATAAGATATTTGGTTATTTAAATGGTTTTATGTTAATGTTTGTTTGATATAAAAGTGATTTTCATCACCAGCTGATATAAAGAATTCAACAATTATTTTGTTACAGTTTGCGATTCTGCTTGAGTTCACATCAATAATCGATCTGTTTACGAGATAAAAACCTAGTTTGTTTATGCCTCGAAGCCAGCAAGATAGGCTTTTAGCCACTGAGTTGGAACCGACATTTTCTGAATTCAGTCACGTGGTAATATATAATCATTATCATCTAATTTATTTGTCGAGATGGTGTTTCTCTACTAACTTAGTTGGTTCTACTGGTTACAGCATACTTACTTACGCTTGTTACCCCGCGTGTAACATAGGTCCGCTGATCAGGAATCTTCAAACATCTCTGTCCTGATCTCCCCTTTCCAGTTGTTGTCAAGTGTCATTCATTCTTTTGATGTATGCCTCCAATTCCCAGTTCAATGTCTACTTTGGTCTGTCTCTTTCACTTTTAGCTTGAGGATTTCAGGTTAGGGTTTGTATAACGATATAGTGTTATAGTTTCCTGAATGTTTGTTCTATCCATCCCCAACATCTTTCTTTAATTCCCTATTCAATTGATCGTATTACACCATCTCAAAGTCTTTATCGATCAATTAATTTAACTATATAGTGATTATGGTCCAAACTAGTTATCTTCAAGTCTTCGTTCCAGCACTATATTAACTAAAGTATTGTACGAAGATCTTTACTACTTCTCAATTTCACTACTTTCTGTTCACAACTTAGATACGATCAAGTCCTACATAACACATTGGTCTTAATGTTCATTTGGTTAGGCCCTAAAATGGTGATTTGTAAGACCACTGATTAAAATCTTGCCATATTCAATATGATCATATGAAAATTCAAGGTTTTTATTTCAGGTTTATAATTGTTTATGTATCATTTAACTATTTTTATTCTATAAGTCATAATAATTTAGTGTATGCAAATAAAAACAAGAAAAAAGTTTATTTTAGGTAAACAGTAATAATAATAGAATAATTTCGTCTGTATTTCGGCAAGACAACAAATATTTACCTATCTAGTTTATTGTCTTCATATTTAAACAAGCTTTTCAACTATATGTAATGATTTGGTATTGTTAATTCTTTCGTAAATCTAAGTATAATTTATTTCTGTGCAACATCTATCCGGAAATTTTTAATTTTTCTGTCACACATTTTTGAGGGTTTTTTTGGTATGTAATTGATCACGTCAACCTAAAAGACATCAGTCACTACATCTTCTAACCATCTTAATCTACACTTGTGTTTATTCATTACTGAAAAATAGTGTCTTATGATCTTACGTGTGTAAGGTGCTGATTAAATTGGATTTTCAAGATTTAGTCTTGATAATATATGTAAAGCGTCATTGTGAAGTGGTCTACATTCTTGAACAGTCTTTAATATAACCTAATGGTTTAAAAACAAAGATGGATAATGGCTAGCAGTGGAATCCAGGACGCGCGTTTCGTCCTATAAAAGCTTGTGAATTATAAGGCAATATCGAGACATACGCACAGTATGCGCATATACCAATAATATACTGACCAACTGCAGTCTTAAATTTCAAAGGGAAGATACAAGCAAAACAATACCAAGTGAATTTAAATTCACTACATTGCACAAGCAAGTGGCTATCAGGACTCAATAGCTGAGTGGATAACGCGATGACGTTTGAAGCGAATGGTACTGGGTCCGAGTTCCAGAGTGAACATCAACTCTGAAATACAGGTACATCTAGCTGAGTTCCAAATAAGAGGAAACACGCGTCCTGGATTCCACTGCTAGCCGCTATTCATCTTTGTTTATAAAAGCTTGTGAATTAAGGCAATATCGAGGCATACCCACAGTATGCACATATGCCAATAACAGACTGATCGATTTCAGTCTTAAACCTCAATGGGAAGATACAAGCAAAACAATATCAAGTGAATCTACTGGTTTAATGTTGAACATCCTAACCTATATAATCCAGTAGTTTTTTTTATTTGTTACAGTCAGTTATTCATGTTGATTTTAAAGAGGATCAACTTCCAGTTGTCTCTCAAACCTTGTAGAGATGGTGTTCGATTTGTGATTTGAATTGCAGATTGATTTTAACTAGATGATCATTGGAAACTAGAGAGTACTCACCATTTGTTTTATTCGAGGTTGGTATTTCCCATTATTAAATACCCACAATCTTATCGTCGATCGAGCAGAGAAAATGCAAGTTATCGGATGGCTGCTCAGTTGTCTAAAAATAATGTACTCATCATGAGGCCTGAAGATCGTGGATTAGACTCTTGTCTTTAACCTTGTGTTTACACTGCTATAGAGTCCTATACTAAGACAAAATAGTTATTCAATGCTTCTTTATTTTCAATGGTTGTCTGTCTCAAGTCAACTTGTTACAGAAGCGGACAAACTTTCCTTTATTTTCTAAGTGTATATCATTCGGTCTCTGTTAGTGATAAATCTTCTGAATGAACGTTTCAATCGGTTTCCTGAGCTCTTCTAATAACACAACTTAAACACTAGAGAAAGAACGCCTTACTTCAAGGTTCGTTTATATACAGAAAATTGAGGGTATTTATAGCATTTCAAATGGTCTTTGGCTTCTGGAAAGTTCTGAAACTCTTCTAAACATAGTAGCAGGATACGCAATTATCAGTTCAGAAATGTGGCACGTGACTTCAGTTTCTGGATGTTTCTGAGAGACTTCTAGTGAATGCTGATTGGACAAGGTGTTTCTCAGCGTTTTCATGGCTGTTTTGGGTTCTTTTCGATGGATTTTCTGGGTCACTCCAACAGTTAGATCTTATTCACTTTTTTTACTTACCTTTCAGTAGTGTTTTGTCCATGAATAATCAAATTATCTATGTTAATTTTATAATTTTATGATTATAATTGTGATGCATGCAAAAACTGTGAACTCGAACGGTGTATACTGTGATTTACTAAACACAGCGTTTAATAATCGTCCTTTCACTCAACACGCACATATCCCAAAAGTTCGAAATTGGATCCACTTAATGTAATTCAAACTACCATTTGTTTATATATAGTCATCATACAAAAGGTGTAACTTAAAACCGAGTATATAAACCCTATACTTGGTAAACAAGTTGTAAATTTACCATTGTAATAATACTTTTGTCGTGTGTAGCGATCATTTGTAGCTTTTAATTAAAGTGTACTAATTGTATACTATTCAGTTGTTAATCGGTGTTTATGCAATATTGATAAAAACAGTGATGTAATATATAAGCTCATAAAACTGATTGTAAGTTAAGGTAACTTCTTGATCATTGATTTGTTCTTTTATTGTGATTAAACTAAAATTTTTTGTATTATTTTTAATCCTGAAATAGACAAACACTTTTATTAAGTCTTATTTTTAAAAAATTTAGGTCTAATCAACTTTCACTTTCTGTTACTCTGGTGTCATGTGTATTTGTCTATCAAAGAGCAAGTATAATGTTCTCCATTTCGCTTTGTATTGCTTCATATTTCTGAATCATGAACTATAGAGCATTATTTGCATATTATGGAACTACCAAGTGAATAGTGTTGAGGTAAAAGGTAGTGTTATCAACAGAAGTAAGTCTGGTAATGGGGCTGTAAATCTTCATCGATTAAAGTGACTGTACTATGAGTTGTATATTCCCGCCCACTGTCTACCTCAACTCGTCATAATTACCTGTACAGAATTGAAGTAGAAACGACACAGATAGAACCGAACAATGTTTACAGCTACAAATGCCTTAGATACTGTACAATAACCATAATATATAGTTCTGAGATCATAAAGTTGCATGACTGGATAGTTAGTAAGTGTTATTCCCCATAATAACTTATATCCATTCCACTTTTCTCTGCTTCATGTCTTGTTAATTCTCTCCCAACTGGGTTGTGGATGCATATTGCCGAGGCGTCCCATGGTTAAATAAAACTGTTGTTCTCTATCTCTGTGCCAGTATCTGATGTAGCTACTTGGACTATTACATAGGTATGCCAAGTTATTGTGTTATCTTTAATGGACCTAATGTGCTTGATCTTGAATCCTATTTTTAAAATAAATGTCACATACATTATAATATTTTAAACAGTTTGATCGGTATTATTATTATTATTATTATTATTATTATTATTATTATTATTATTATTATTATTATTATTATTATTATTAGGGACAACCAGTTGTATTTTAATACAAAATTACAGAGTTCTTCAGCAAAATACGAAAACCATAGGTTCAATACTTCATTTGCGAATCCTCCATCAATTGTCTCAAATTTCATCGTTCCTTCATCGCCATAACAATTACTCTCTATCGCCGTTCTTTTCTATTCGATCTTCCCAACCTTCTGCTACCAGGCATTCCACTTTGGACTGATGTTGTACACTACTTATGTCGACACCACAATAATGAAATATCATTTAGAATTATATTCTCTGAACATTTCCAAATAAAGTATCTTGTAGTCAATGATCTCATCGATTTCTCGTATTATATAATATCACTATTCTGAGATATCCTCCTACCTAGACAGCTATGACCCGTCAGTTCAGTTATCTAATCATAAGGTCATGGATTTGATCCTCATTAGATCTGTGTCGAGTATATCACCATTCACAATCTTTTTAAGTCAATTATATTTTTTTCTGTCGTATAGCACTCTATCCTAGTAAGCAATCAAAATGTGTGTTTCATGTAATTCGACAGACCAACAGAACACATTTGAATTAATATAAGTTTATTTATTAACGGTGTGTAGATCTCACACTCCAATGTATCGTACTGTGCATACATACATAATTTACTTACGTGCTTGGTTTCTTACTTACGCCTGTTACCTCTTGTGGAAAATAAGCCCGTTGACCAAGAATCTTCAAACATCTCTGTCATGAGCTCTCCTTTCCA